TTAACGACAATCGCTTTCCTTTCAATTCAATTCGTACCTTTTCGTCGTTGCAATTCTATTTTTTCATCTTGTTAAAGTATTACTTTACTCGTTCCTCGGATTGCAACAATCTCTTTCTCTCTCTCTCTCCCCCCTCGTACGTACCGAAAGTAAAGTAGTTTATATGGAATTTAAGTAGGATCGAAATTATCGAGTTTCGAGTGCATCGCTTTGAGAAACATACAAAGACATCAACGTCCTCGAAAGAGTACTCGAAGGATTGGCTCCAATTGCCGTTCACGTGTGTATCGCGCGCAAACGTGCTTTGAAAATTCTCACCGGGAAGGGAAAGCCGTCGCTCGGCGCAGGCCGCGCGGTGTCCAAATTTTATCGAGCGTACACGCGTACCTCTATTTTGTCCAGTGAAAACCCTTAGAAATTTTACGATGCGTTTTAGACTTAAACAGCGCATGTATTCTATCGATTTTGCTGTTAGTCGATGTTAATGTAGTTGATAGCGCTTCGTTTGCCGTAGCTGAGTCCACCGAATTGCCGCTATCTTTCTCACGAGAACGCGATCGTTGACTGCGCGCGTTACAGATTAATTCCTATTTGCATCATCCTCGTCGCTCCGCTTTTATTCCCTTCCATCTCGAGTCGGTTCACTCTTGTTCTCCTACCACGTTTCTTCTCATTACGAAGAGAATATTTCGACGTTTCCAATCGAAATTTTACGCAATCGTTCACGAATTATCCTGAGCGGCAATTCTGTTTGGAAAGACGCACACTCGTACGTTTCTTGAAGCTTGGCACTTTTCGAAAAAGACTTCTGGCATCGTACGTTTTTCCGACTGAGCTCCAAGCCTATATACATACCAAAAATCACAATTGTCGCGACAAATTTGAGGAACGAATGACACCGAACGTGTACAGAACATTGGAAACAGCGAAAGAAAGACGGCGAAGACGAAGACGAAGACAAAGACGAAAACGACAACGACGCGAAGCAAAAATAACTCGAGTAAATGAAAATTCTAGAGGCAGTAAAGAAAGGGGTGCGATACTCGATACTCGAGCGCTTCCATGTTCTCGCACGATCGGTTCGCAGCGTTCGATCGAACGAAACACCAGCAAATTGACAAGGAGACGAAGGGAAGATTCGATGTGGGATCCACGTCTGGCTACAGAATTAGAGTGCACCGTTGAAAACACGACAAGGACGAATAGTAACGAGAACAAGGGTAAATAGGAGTGGGCTCGAGAATGGAAATACGATTTAGGTTCAGATTCGAGTTCAAGTTTGGGTTTAGGTTCGAATTCGGGTTTGGGTTCGAATTCTGGATCGAGATTGACATTGGAATCGAACAAATAAGATCAAAGTGACAAGCTTGAATGAGAAAATCTGGTGCTCGGAGGTCTTTTGGTAACTCACAATGTAGGACAGAGGCGATATATCGGGGAAACAAAAGTAACGGGTGTTTGCTTTTGTAATGCCGAAAAGGAAGCAACACGGCGGGAAGCAAGAGATCGACGCAAGCAGCCACGATCGTGGTCCAGCAACCGTCGCTTTCGTTGGATGGATCGACTGGGGCTACGACGATTCTCTTACATCCCGAAGTGGACGTCAGGCGCCGCGAAGAAAATATGAGACAATTGTTGGACGTTGCGAATACGTTAACGTTACAGGAAATACACGATTTCGAAATGAGGTTCGTTTCGCTGCTACCTACCGTTTTGTTCGTTTTACCGGGCCGGGAATGAAAGCCGAGGAACAAAGATTGCAGACGGATCATGTCTCGTACGTTTTCGTTTGCCGCAGATACGGTAGCCCACACCACAGCAGGTCACAGTCGGTTAAAACTCCGGGCAGCCGTTCATCGGGCAGACCAAATTACTTGTGTCTTCCGCAACAGAGATCGAGAGTCGCGAGCATGCCGAATACCGGCGTGGAAGAAGAGTACTACAGGCTAAGACATTTCAGTATAACCGGCCAAGGAGTCGTAAACAGAGGAGATTCTCTGAAGAGTCGGAGATCCCGGTCCAACAATAGCGTCGCTTCGAGCAACTCGAGGTGAGGCTTTCCACAACCCATTTCCCCGGCCATACTCCTTTTCAGTCGTCCCAACGACACCAGAGAAGAAGACGACGCGGTCCTACTTTAAATCGAACGCGTGAGTTTACGTGTGCCGCAACGGTCTGGACAACGTAGACACACGTGTTGGGCTTTAGAGTAGGATCGGAGCGCACCAACTGTCACCAACGACACAGGAACACCATCGACAACCGCACGATCCTTGACGAACAGTTGAATCGTAGATATTCGATTAATCTAGAAAAGCATAAAGAATCGCACAATTGCCTAAGCGCAAGCAAGCACAGAATCGCAGAGCCGTGAACCTCTCGGCCTAATGCCGTAGACCGCGCGCGCCAGCATTCTTATTACATGCTTCTTTCTTTTTCTTTTCTTCCGTCCTGTGTTCCGTCGCTCTCTTTCGGCGCGTCTACCAACGGCGGTGCAGCACGGAACATCTGACCGCGTCGTACCCTGGTTCGGCGAGGAATTCGGCGGCAGGATCATTAGCGAGTTCACGAGAGAGCAGCGCGTCGCAGGGATCAACGCCGTATCGTGTTCTCATGTTGGGGGCTCCAGCAGTTGGGAAAAGTTCATTAGTTTCCCAGTTCATGACTTCCGAATATCTTCACGCATACGATACCTCGATTGGTGAGTAACTCGTAAAACTCGTTCAACCGCGTCTCTTTTCATCCGATCCGATTAAAGCATACTGTCTCTAATACTGCTTTTAATACTGCTTTTAATACTATTCTCGGCCAATGGAACGATCGACGCGTTACAATCATCTGCTGCCGACAGACGACGAGTCCGGAGAGAAGACTGTCAGCGTGCTCCTAGCTGGAGAGGAATCCGAATTGACTTTTATCGATCATACCTGCGCCGAGATGACGGTGAGTCGCAACACGATCGATTCGCTCAAGATTATCGGTATATCGGAAACAGTTTGTGTCGTTTCGATCCGATCCTACACGAGTTTCGCGTATATTTGTCAATCGATATTAATCAATGTTAATTTGAAGTTGAGGTGAAACGTGTAAAAAGAGAGTAAAGCGAGCACGTTAATCCAGCTCGGCGAACCATCGCGAGGAACGATTGACGGGCAGCGAGCTGTAACAAGACCGGTCAACCGTGAAAACGGTTGACAGGGACCGATGGTCGATCGAGTCGTGGTATCCGAGTTCGATGGTATCGACCGGAATTCACTTACGTACGTGCTTGTAGAGAGAGTGAAAACTCCTCGAACTGAAAGAAATTCAGACGAAATCGGACGGGACGAAACGAAACATGAACACATATACATATATACATGTACATATATATATATATATATATAGAATTGGAAATCGTTTGTTTGTTACAGCCGGAAAGTTGCATCGCAACTTACGAACCGCACGCGTACTGTGTCGTTTATTCAACAACGGATCGAGCTTCGGTATGCGTTGCCGAAGAGGTGTTGCATACTCTTTGGCGCAGCGACCATGTCTCCGCGCGAGCGGTAATCCTTGTTGGAAACAAAGTCGATCTTGTACGCAGTCGATTGGTTTCGACCGCAGGTAAGGGGCTGAAACCTCCATGTTCGTCTTCCTTTCGCAAATGTAAGAAATTCGTGCAGTAAACTGAACGAGCAAAACGTGCGAATCGTCGAGCTGTACATATTCCCAATATTGTCGAGGAGCAGATTCCAAGCATTCGGAATTGTTCTTTTTCGCGCAATGTTCTCACACTCGTATGCGACGGTCCGCTCGCGATCTCTTTACGTGTCACGCGTACAAAGATTTTGATTGTTCTTTCGTGTTGCAGAAGGCAAGTCTATGGCTACATCTTACGATTGTAAATTCATCGAGACATCCGTTGGGATTAACCATAACGTGGACGAACTTCTTGTCGGATTGCTCACGCAAATACGGCTAAAGCTCGAGAATCCTGAAAGGGCGAGAGATCTTTTCCGAAAGAGATCACGAAAGAACCGCAGTAAATCGCCTCTCGGTTCGTGCTCCGAAAACAATTCTCCGAAAAAATATCGCGGTAGTCGTACGAGTACCAGCCTGAAGGTACGAAATTTGTTGGGTAAAGTATGGGCGAGAGATAGCAAGTCCAAGAGCTGCGAGAACTTGCATGTTCTTTAATTTCAATGATTCGGATTGAGAATCTTCATTGTTGGTTATCTTACCCCATCTCTCAGTCACCTTGGATCTTTCCTCTGTATTTCTTTTATCGAGATACCGTTCACTTTCGCATTTACAGCCTTTACGTTCCATAGTCTTCCCATCTGTTCGGTCGGTCTTTTACACTGTTCCCTCTGCGACACTGTTTTCGACTCGACTCGACACTCTCGACACGCGTCAGTTTTACCGGACAATGCGGAAACCGTGGTTCCCTGTCGTTTTAACTGTTAGGATAACGCGATTCGCAGCCAATTATTAAACGATTCGAAAGGTCAAAAGCAAACGAATCCCCGACATTGAGAAGAGGCTAGCGCCGTAATCTAGTGAAATTTCTTGTACACAGGTGCAAACGTGTTTTTCACGAATACTACTTTTTATGACTCGTTTGGTCATTGTTGACACCTTGATAAAGAGTGAACTCGGATCGATAAGATCGACCGATTTTACACTTGTACATTTGATGCCGGCATCTACGAACAACTCGCTTTCGCATGTATATGCGCTTCAACGTACACGCGGGCACATGTATGTAAACAAATGTATGCACGCTCGTTCACACGCACGCACGCACGCACGCACGCACGCACGCACGCACGCACGCACGCACGCACGCATGCACAAATTTCATTTTCTCTGGAATGTTACAGTGAAACTGTTATTTCAAAATCAGCATTTCGTACGAGGGAAACTTGCCTATTTTCAATGCAATCGAAATTCAATTATTGTTACGGAGAATAACTACATGCTACGTGGTCGCGTTTCTTGATATCTGTTTGAATAATTGCGATATTTTCCATTGCATTACGTTGAGAGGCAAAACGGGATTCTCTTGATAATAATAGTGACTGATTATTACTATAATAATGATAGCAAGATCAATGGTTGTCGTATTATTCATCGCTCTGTTATTCTCCCTCTGATATTCTTCTGCCCTTTCCGATTATCTACACCGGTTCGCGATATATTACTTTCTCGTAACTTTTCACGTTCAGTGTCCGATTGTACCATGTAAATGCACATCAAACTAAACGACAGATCTGTTCTCTTCGGATCCGTAAGAATGTTGTATAAATACAAATAGTTGTTCCATTTACCGCCAACTATCATTGCACGTTAGAAAAATAGCAATTATAAATAGCAGTTTGGAAATGTGCACATGCAAATTACAAACTCGTGCAGGAGTGTCCACACCCTAGAGAATTTCAATTTCTATTCGTCTAGATGATTTAAACGAATGCTATGTTCGCAACGCGAACCATAAAAGTCGCGAACATTCGATATTTCCAATGCGTAGATCGTACGAGATATGGCTTCCATTCGAATATTTCATAAACATCAAAGTTCAAACTCCTGTACGAAATTTTTAGCGTACAGGCATGTATAACATGTACACGTACATACATATGTATATGTGTGCTGCATTTACGGCACATTCCAGAAGACTGGCCCAATAAGCATAACGATTATCAATTTATTATCTATTTATACTACTTCATTTTTGACAAACCCCCCGCCCCCCATCTCTCTCTCCCTCTATTCCTTCTCTCGTTAAGTAGAAGATAATTACAAGAAACTAAACATACTATTCAACCATCTACAACTCGTCTAGCCGATAAGACTTGTAACCATATAAAAGGAATCGCATTTGCTATTGGAAATTTCAATCGGTAGTTTCTCGATATTCGCTTGGCATGTCTCATAGCACATTCAATCTTACATTTACGACATTCGATGGCGGTACGAGGTCGAGATTGAGAACTTGCAAAGAGTCGCATGTAACGATACGTTAATATGCGTGTATACACGATCGCTCGATTGCAAATTCGAAAACTCGTATTCGTACTTGTTTCAAATACGACAGGTTACACGACAGGTGTTCCTTAAACACGAATCGCGTATAGCAACCCTTGCCCCCTCTCTGTCTCTCTGTCTCTCTGTTTGTCTCTCTCTCTCTCTCTCTCTCTCTCTCTCTCTCTCTCTCTCTTGTTTTCTCTCGTTCAGTTGGTTGTTTAGTTTAGAAAGCACGAGCAAGCGCGTATGTACACTGTGTACAAACATGCCAACTTTCGTCTGTATCTCTTCGTTTCGACGAAACTGTCCTCTGCTCTGCTCACGATCGATAATCGGAAGAAAAGCAAGAGCAGCGACATTAAACGCCAGGTACACGCTCACGTTTTTCTCTTTGAAAGAAAATCGAAAACGAGAGAGACACCTAATAGAAAGGACCAAATCAATAACGAATAAGATACGAATAGGCGAAGAAAAGTGAAGAAAAGGCAGGAGTAGGTAAGCGATCTAGAAACAATTTCTGTTACGAGGCGGACAAAATGTTCGGTGACGATTATCCGTCCATCCACTTAAACTTTTGAGAATCCTTCGCGAACAATAACCGGCTGTGCGAATCGAACGAATGAAGCGCGAGAACCGTATCAGCTTTCGCGAAGGAGCCGAACATCGTTGTCCTAACGAAGTGGGCTTCGCGTTGCACTCGGGGTGCACGAGTTTCAAGGACAATGCGGGCTGAATACCAGCTAGAAAATATACCTTGCGCAAAGGTATATCCGATACGACGCGACTCGCGTCTCCTTAGCTCTAGGTACTAGTACTATTGTTCTAGTACTAGCTGTACTTGCTCCTACTAGTATCGGAGCTACGTACAACTACGCGGCCAGATACGCTGACGGATGCCCACAATGCGGACCACAGCCTATCGATTAGGCAATTTCTTCGATCAATGTTATTACACGCACGCGCACACAAACAAACAAACAAACACACACACACACG